GCTCAATTCAATGCAGGGCATTACTCTGAAGCTGGACGAGACTGGCCGGTGTATAGTGGCGCGGATAATGCATGGCGGCATGATACACCGGCAAGCAACGTTGCACGTGGGCGACGAGATCCGAGAAATCAATGGCATTTCAGTGGCTGGACAAAGCGTGGAAGCCCTGCAAAGAATGCTGGTAAATTCATAGATGTAGTGAATACATTTTTTTTAAATGCTGCATATATATATAGAAAGATATACTGTATAAACAACTACACAGAGCTGAGTTGATTGGTAGCATTTCAGCTTTCTCTCCCCTCTCTCTATTTACTTTTTTTTCTTCTTCTTCTTCATCTTTCAAATGCAGTTTTGTACTGTACTTTAGTTGCAGAAGTTCTCAATCTGTGGTATAAGGAGGCCCAATAAGGGGCTCCGCGGGTCCCTTTGTGACGAATTATGTATTGATTCAAGAAGGTGATCCATCATCATATAATTTAATTTTTTAAGCAATGAAAGAGGGCACCTGAAGTCAACCAGGTTGAGAAACTCTGCTTTGAAATGGAATCTCCATTGGCAAAGATTTTTATAAAATTTTGAAGATATTATCTTGAAATGTATTTGAAAGTTTACAAAAAAAATGGAACTGACCCGGGCTTTTGGAAATTCGTTAACCTGATTATTACTGAATTATTTCAAGGGGTTTTTCAAACTTTGAAAATCCCATGAAAAAGTATGACAAAAATTGTTTGGCCAGGTGCAGTTTGGAATAAAACCATGACATTTGCCCTGCTGAAGATAATATTAGAGTTTTTACAGAATAAAATAAATCTGTAATTGTCAGCCTTGTACCTTGAATGGACTATCATTTGTGCCTAATTTTTGCTTGTTTTTATTTCGAGCAATTTTTCCAGTTCTGGCATCAGTTTTTTCATTAAATTTTTCCATTGTTCTTCAACTATTTTGAGGAAGTGTTTAAAAATGCCAGGAAAAAACCATGAATCGATTTCCTTTGGCTATTTAGTGATAATGAGGTACAAGTGATTGAATCAATTTGGAGAACAAACATCCCTATAATTGTAAACATGACAAAATCAATTAGGAGAAATCAATGATTGCGCCTGCAACTTTGGTTTTTGTCAATTACAAAGCTTTCAAGAAGTCCTGCTTTTGATGAGTGAGGTATTTTTAGTTACAAAAACAAAACGCTTTGTCCTGAATTATTTTATGAATCAGGAGAAGGAATCCATACAATTATTTTGAATAATGGAGATTCTATTCTAATAGAATTTGTAGCTGTTGAAATTGATGAGATTGAAATCAGTTGAGATGATGATGAAAAAAAGTATCTGGTCAATGTTTCCTGGTGAAGAGAATAATTATTCACAATTCAAATTTTGTTGAACAGTACTTGGAGATTGCAGAATTCTGTATATTGGAGATTTTAATTTCATTTTTTTAATTTTAAGATTTCTCAAGTTACTTTTTTATTCCGTGGGTGAAATCATTAGTTTTCCACTTAGGCATTTTTTTATTGTGAAAAAAATCCAGTGAATTTTTGAAAGAAATTTTGACCAGATACTCTTTTTTCTGCTTGAGCAACATTCTTCTCCTTTTTTTTTGGCTCTCGGTCACTGAAGCCTGTTGTAGATTCTTTTGCTCATTTTCTGCAACAAAATGTGCATACTTTTCTTCACTTTTACAGCATTATCCGTGAAAATGAATTTTTGGTTCTACTTACTTCCTCCATTGTTCGACAGGTGTCGCCTTTTTCAAAATAGCGGACTAGGAATTACTACATTCAATGAAAACCGTGTTCGAAAGAGAGACAAATTTGCTTCGAGTTAAAAAAAAAAAAACATTACATCTTTTTGAAAAACGTCAGGTTTGATGTGGAAGCTCTGTTAGACTCGGGCGACACCTATCAAGCCAAATCAAAAACACCGAAAGACGAACGTTACTTTTCAACGATCGAGTGGCCTCTCAGTTGCACAGATCCTCCGAATCTGTGATAAATTAAATAGATGTCGCCTGAATCGAAGACCAACAAGAAATATCACAACAAGTCCGAAGTACCGGAAAGGTGACTCATCAATTTTAAAAATAAAAACTGTCTTGAAACCGAGCTAATGTTCAGCAGGCGACACCTAGCCGATCGCGAGGAAAATCGCGGATTCGATAAGGGGGCATCAAGAAGGGAGAAGAGATTAAAATTTGTGCCATTTCACTGCTTTCGTTTCGCCAAATAATTTTGATTTTCCCTTTGAATTCGCAGCGTGATGCGAGAGGGTCAATCACTTTCAAAATCGTGCCGTCATACCGGAGCGCACCGCCGCCATGCGAGGTGAGCTAATTACAAGTTGACAAAATCTTGTCAAATATAACCCGGATTTATACAGTTTACATTCATTAAAATAAAGCTGCATCAATTAGAGTCAATGATCGACTACCGATTAAAATTAACTTGAGAATTGTTTTTATCCCGCAATTATCCTTCAAGACTCATGAAATATATCTGCTCATTTGTGAAATGATTGTTGTCTAAGATTCCCAAAAAGTTAATTCTCAATAAATAAATAAAATTTACAATGGTTGGTGTGTTTCAAATTTTGGCTGAAACTGCAGCAGTTTCGACTCAAAAATATTCTGAGTGGGTTAATGAAAAATTTTTTCTTGAGACACTATCAAAATAAATTGGAAACCCTTTCTTCTTCAAATTTTCACCCAGAAATGAATCACCTATTTCAAAATAGGGTAAACATTTTCTCATGCATTCACAAAATTTTATTCAATCTTGGATTGGTCCATGTGAAAATTTAAAATTACATTGTTTCTAGTAGCGACATCTAGCCTCATTCAAGAAATTTTTATTTCCCATGGACTTGACAGGATCACTCCTTCAAGTTGATTGCAAAAATCTTTTTTTGCGCAGGATATTTTTGGCATTTTAAATTGTGCTTTAGAGGAAGATTCACAAAGGAAGCATGAGTTATTTACTTTTTCAAACTCAGTACAAAAGATAAATAATAATTCTGAACTGTACTGCACACATTTAACTGTGAGACTACCAATGACATCTATACCTTCACGGAAAAAAACATTTGCCGGAAAGGGGATGGTTTCATTTGAATTTTGAATGCAGTAAAATTTGCATTGCGCCGAGAAATAATGCGAGTGTCATGTAAAAATTTTATTTTTGCTATTTATATGTATAAAAACTTTTTAGTATTTGTATGCAGCTCTTGCACAAAGTTTCCCTGCAATTTTATTTTCTGCTTCGGGATTCGTGTTAACTCAATTTCGTTTTTTTTTCTTTCAAATTATCGCAGCTGTTCCGGATCAGACCGGAGCCGGTTCTTGTAAGTAAAAAATATGAAGGAAGAAACAAAACCGAGTTTTGAATAAATTGCATGCGTAATTTTGCCAATCGTTGACATTTTTAGAAACTCATTTTGGTTTTGATGAAAAAAGAGTGGGAATGGTTTTTTTTTTACATTAAGCGCGTGGAAAAAAAAATCAGTGACCGAGAATTTTCTTTTCTGGTTTGCATTAACAAAATCGTATTTATTTTTTTTAGTCAAATCTCAAAGGAGGTTTTTTTATTTTTTGTTTTAGGAGTGAATGGTGTGGACTTTTAGAACTGAGTTTGCGTTGAGTGGGTTTCCCCCCTTTTTTTTGGATGTTTTTTTTAACGAATTTTCTAATTTTTTGTTTTGTTTTTGTGGAGCAGATCTTTGTGAGGGCGCAGTTTGACTACGACCCTTTGCAAGATGATATCATTCCATGTGCTCAAGCGGGCATTGCTTTCAATACTGGAGATATTCTGCAGGTGAGACTTTAAAAATTTATTTATGTTTAGTGTTGACAGAAATAATTGCGTGTATGATTTTTTTTTAATATTGTAGATAATCAGCAAAGATGACCACAATTGGTGGCAGGCGAAAAAAGAGAATTGCTCCACAGCTGGACTCATTCCGTCTCCCGAACTGCAAGAATGGCGAACTGCGGCCACTGCCATGGACAAGCACAAACATGAACAAGGTTTGTGTGGGTTTTTTTCTCATTTTG